GATGATAAATCATAGTGGTAGTTTGTAGTACTTTTACAACTATCATCAAGATCTATTATCTCTAGAACACCCAATAGAGGATCATATTCAACCTTCTATTTTTTCATATCCAGCAAGACATGTCTCAAAAATCAAGAGAAGTTTGCAAATTACTTTTGATAGTTACTATAGCTACTAACTATATTAATGCAGGTGCACATGAACAACAACAATTTCTTCATGGAATTATTTATTTCTTTTGTATATGTATGTCTCTTGTATTTATTTTTGTTTTGATTTAACTGTTAGGTTTTACTTACTTTTCGTTCATGTTCATCCGTCATCAATACACAAAATATTTAATCATAGTATATACACACAATGTCTAATGGTAGTATATATAGATGAATTTAAGGCTATCTTACATGTATTGGACTCCTTGTAACTTGTAAGAAGATTAAACTTTTATTTTGGTTCATGAATTGTAGAGACCTTATAATGTAACATCTTATTTTGATCACAATGTGTGATGAAATGCCTGGACGGTGAATTCTTACACTCACATGGTGGGTGTAAGCATTAGTTTTCTTTTATATTCACTTTTTCATTCTATACGTAATGTGATTATTTGATTATTATATATTGTGTTTACATAGTGCATGTATTGTAAATATTATGAAGTGGTTATCATCACCTGTAGAAGTTTCAACTATATTTTTTTCTGTCATTTTAATATCTAAAGAGAGGTAATGAAAAAAAATACACAATGCTTAACTTTTATAATGTTAGGTCCGTGCTAGCACGGGCGAGCATCGTCTAGTTTATGTAGGAGCGTGACAAATGAATAGATAATAAAAATTTAGAATTTTGTATATGATCGGTGAAATTTTATTTTACATCCCTGAAGATTTGGCCAAAGCATATTTGGCACATGCATATTTGGACCACCTATAGCACGCGCAATATATATAAATAATCAAATTTGCCATTTACCATGCTTTAGGATTTACACCTACTAATTCTTGTTCTTAATGAAAAATAGATATGTATGGAGTATTCAACAAAATTGTACTTTGAAGGACTCATAGTATATAATTTTAAACCAGTGTACATTATATAAGAAAGATTTTCTAATATACACTTTTACTTATTCACATATATTATAGGTATAGGTATGTGAAAAAGAAAAAAGAAAAAAAAGAGAGAAGAGAAGATATTGGGGATTTCCACATGGTCCATGAGGATGGCATCATTGGCCTCCGATCCAAGGCGTAGGTGGTCCTCTCCCTCTCTATGATAGACTGTCTGCTTCAAGCAACCAGCCAATCCTGAGAAAGGGATGCGTCTCTCTCTTTTTCCCTTACACATGCATTAGCATTACTACTCATACTATATATATTCGAACAAAACATTATTATTATTATTATTTCATGCCTATGCTAATAAATAGTAAAGGAGATCTACCTGGTCCCCGATCTATCTAATTCAATATACATTGAAGAGCTACCTACATCACCAGTTCATTATACTCTAATTTATTCATTATTTACCACCTACATGTATATATTTACTACTAATTAATGACTTTCATTTTATAATTATAATGTTCAAATAGCACTTGTGATATATATAATTACATATATAGAGCTCAGAGTGTAAAGGAATCTTATGAAAGTAGTAGGTATGTAGCTAGTCCCTTAGCAGCCTATCAAGGCCCAGCATCGACTTAATTAATTAGTACGGATTCATTTATGTGTTGTGACAGCAAGTCAATAATCCAAATCCTGTTTAATGAATATACTAGCCTATACGAAAATGCTAGTTGACGTCTACGTCCTTGTGTCTTATTAACAAACCATTTGCAAATATTTTTATTAGTTATTACTATTACTATACTATCTAACTATCACAAATAATTAATACTACCCTGTTCATAATACACCACACTGCAACTATCTCCCAAATTTTAATGCCTACGCCGCCCTCCCCAAAATCACAAAATTAAAGTGAATGAAAACAAACAAGACGAGGCTAGTGGCTTTAATTGGGATTATATTAGAAACTCGTGCTTTAAGGAACAGCTGGCCTTGCCGTGGGCCTAAATGCAAAAACAAAAGATCTATTTCCACTTTTACCCTTATGTTATGCTACTCTAATATAGTAGTAATTTTCTCTTATCGGGCATAAGTTTATTTTGCATCATAAAAAAATACTCCATAATCATAATTTATGTCCTTGTACAAAAATGCTTATTATTGAAAAGTGAGGTGTTTGATAAGTTCTTAAGAGAAAAAAATAATATTTTTAGCAAGTAACAAAAATTATTTTTTAGGAGCTAAAATAGTTTATCTTCAAAAATACACTAAGAAGCACTTTTCAAAAACTATCTACTTTGGAATTTACAATTAGTATATTAGTTCACGAGTGTGGATATATATAAGATATATACGAACCACAAAAAAATTCTTCTTCGATCAATCACAGTGAAATTACATGCAAACACCGGCCAATTTTTGCAATTTTATGCATCAAAACCAACTACTCACAACCCCATAGCTTATCCAACCTCTATTTTGATACAAACTCATGAAAACTTAAGGATTTTGATGCCCATTCATATTTGGACATTCTTAAATGCGAATATCCTTAAATTTTTTGCCCTAAAATTAAATTTTAGTGTTTTAAGCTACCATAACGATGATCTAACATCTTAGACTCACAAATAGCCAGTAAAGTTAGCATGTGCTTATCTCGATCAAATAGTTTGAATCAATTTTGAGAGAGTTGTGAGGGAGACAAAAATACTATCAGGAAGTGAGGGAGATGACAGGGGGAAATAGTGAGCAATGGATAGAAGGTCTCGAAGTCTTCTGGGTTAAAGTTGAAATTATTGATCGTAATTTCTATTTCTATTAAAAATAAAATAAAAAGATATTGTGCTATTTGGGGTTTGAATCTAAAACTCCTTCTTTCAAATGGACACCTATTACTACTCCATCAAAGACATAACTTTTATCAAGAGTATCCAACTTTATATATATATATATATATCATTTAAATGTAGAATTTGACATATATATACAACATAATTTTTCAATGTAGGGTGTCCAGTTGGGATAGCTACAACTATGCCCCTGTACAATCATACTTTGGGCCACAGATCCAAATACAAACAATATATAAAGCGTTTGAGACTTGAAATCGAAAAAACTCTATTTTGATACTCTAACATTGTATTTCCATCTTCTAGGTCTTGCACCACTAAACACATCAAAAAACAAAATGTCTATCCTAAAAGAAACATAAATCTTGGATTTATCGGATTGGAAGCAATGACTTTAAGTCTCAAGTAGCATCACAACACGACACAAATATCACAATTAGGTGGTAATTATAAGTTGTTTTTCAATTAACGTTTGATTTATCACCGTGAAAGTCCCAACATCAACAATTCATATCCTGAATAAGACAACCCAATACACGGGGATGTCTTTACACTTGCTTTCACTCAACACATTTTGTTGTACTTTAAGTAGCACTTTCATCAACGTTCTTACCTTAGGCAGGGGTATTGATGGGTCGATTTGGGTTTTGTTATTGATCAAATTTAAAATAAAATTAATTTAATTAAATATAATATACATTTATTGGATTGATTATTATCAATTACTAATCATACACGAAAATAAAATACAAAGTGGAATAATAGAAAAACACAAATTAGTTAGCAAATATAGGATAACCAAACAACCCATCAACCACCAGTTATGACCTTGAAAACCTTGAAGAGTTTAATTTTATCCAACAACAAGAAATCCGAAATGGCTACAATTGCTTTTTTTTCATTTTTTTCTTTTTGGTTTTCGGCTTGGATTCGAATTGACCTTTTGTTGAACTTTTTTATTTTAATTTTTTTTCACTTTCATAAATAAATAAAAATATCTATAAGATATTCAAATTGTTCATAAAACATAATATATTATGTATATTTAATTAAAGATATGTATATTCTTTTGTTTTGTTTGAACAAAATAAAACTCAATAAAATATTATTGATTTTTTTTTTTTTTTGAAACGAAAACCAAATAAAATTTAATTATACATCAAACACAAGAATCATATTTGTATGTTATAACTATAGTTTGCATAATTGCGCTCCATAACAAATTTTATGTTTGCTATGGAGCTTTTGATTTGTATAATTCGCTACAAACATCCAATTTTATACAAATTGTTCATTTTCGTATAAATTCATTTATACAATTTGTATAATAAGATCTGTATTTGTATAATTATAAGTGTATAAGACGAATATATATATTTTTTTCTCGCTTTATACAAACACAAACACATTTATACATTTTATACCGAAATGTATAAAATTACTAATTGTATACCGAAAATGACTAATTGTATATCGAATCAGATGGCAAAAAAATGAGATGTTTGCTGCGAATTACAATTAAAATAAACTATGGTTATATCATTTAATTTGAATTAATAATTTGCTATTTCATACTACAATTTTCCCATTATTTAATCATTCCGATTTAGTTTAATTTTTGGATTGGATGGGATTTTACCCTCACCGTGAACCCCTACGGGTATGTAGTGTGACTCTGTGTGAGGGAGTGATCATAAATTTGTTTCGTAGGTATACTTGATCCCTTATTAATAAAAAAAAGAAGTAAAAGTAAGGTTAAGATAGTTAGAGAGAGGAGTTAAGTTATATTGTACTCCTAGTAGAGTAGAATATATTTAGTAGGAGTAAAAGAAAATTTAATTGGGATGCTACCAGTGCGATGACAAGGACGAGCTCACATGAACCCAACCAGATAATTCGTGGGCCCCGACCCAACGAGCAAATGAACTCGGAAGGAAGGAAGAAAGTCTAAAAGAGAATAACTAGAATGAAATTTACCTAACTTAAAAAAGAAGATTCCACCCACTAAGACAAATTACCCACGTACCTTGTCTCTCTCTATCTCTCCCTCCTTCCCTCTCACACACAGACACAAAGAAGAAGAGAGAAGAAAGAGGCGGCTTTTGAATCTGACTACTCCGGAATGGGTGATAATTAATGAGAGTCATCACGGCCTCTTTGAGGACGACAACAAAGAGTATTCTAGTTTATGAGGATACTCTTTCTTTCAACCCTAGCTAGCTAGTTCCAGTTCCTCTCACACTAATAACTACTGGACGCAATTACTTTTTTCCTATCACATCTTTCTCTAATTAGATCTATGCTGGGTCCTAGATCATGAATTTCTTCGATCAAGGAGGTACACGCCCATTTTCTCATTCTTCTTCTTCCAGCCAGAAGATTATAGTTCCTGATTTCTCTTATCAGCAAAGAAGCACCACTAATAATGGTGAAGATAGTACTGATCTCGTGATGAATATGGATCTTCACCCTGCAGATGAAGTTGGTGAAAGTAATACGATTGAGCGAGAACACATGTTCGATAAGGTAGTCACTCCCAGTGACGTCGGCAAGCTCAATCGGTTAGTCATCCCCAAACAGCACGCTGAAAAGTATTTTCCTCTGGATTCCTCTACCAACGAGAAAGGCCTCCTTCTCAATTTCGAAGACAGGAATGGAAAGCCTTGGCGCTTCAGATATTCCTATTGGAATAGCAGTCAAAGCTATGTAATGACCAAAGGTTGGAGCCGCTTCGTCAAGGAGAAGAAGCTCGATGCCGGGGATATTGTCTCATTTCAGCGTGGAGTCGGTGAATTGGGCAAGGATCGTCTCTTCATCGACTGGAGGCGCCGTCCAGACGCCCCCGACCATCTCCACTACACCCACTTCACTAATCATCATCTCCATAATACCTTGTACAGCTCTAATATTCAGTACCCAGCTGCTGCTGCTTGGAATCGTCCTCTCTTTTTGCAGCCTCCTCCTCCTCCTGACCATTCACATTTACAATATTCCCTGGGACCTGCAGCTGGCAGCATGCCTCATCATCATCAACAACAATCTCACGGATCCAGTCCTAATAATTACCACGACACTTGCAATTTCAACAACAGCCGTACAACTGTGGTAAATGGAAACCCTTGTCCGAGCGGGTCAGTAGTTTATCTCAGATCGGGGTCAGCCCAAGTCCCACAACAGGCTGGGTTAATGCAATTAAGAGGTCATAGTAATAGCACTAGTGGCAGGGTTGTGGAGCCAGTGGTGTTCGACTCCGTACCGGTTGTTCAAGGCAAGGCAGCAGCAAAGCGATTCAGGTTGTTCGGTGTGAATATGGACTGTCCCATCTCAGACTCGGATGAATCATGTGAAATCACGTCCTCGTCTTCTTCCTTGCCTAATCCCGCCACTACAGCAACTTATTCTCATGTCCCCCAATTTTCATCATTATCATTCAGAACTTTTAACAACTATGATACCAACCCGCCGGCAGCCACCGAAGAAGAATCGTTCGACAAAGGCAAGGCATCCATGTCCTTGAATTTGGATTTGGATATTTGATAATTCCGCAAGTGTAAATTGAAGAGAATTAACCTAAGTGGAAAACAATGTCCAAGTTGAATTTGTGTAATAATACGATTATGAAATATTTTGCAAATACTAGTAAAATATCACACTATAGCTGGTTATTTTATGTTTGATTTTTCAAGTGGGTAATGTAGTCGTTCAGTGATTAAAAACAAGAAAAAAAAGAGCCTTATTACTTAATTATACATGTGTTTTCTATTTACTTATATTCATAAATATGTTTCCTTATCTCTCTCTAACAAACTTTGCTGTATTGATTTCCCAGTGGGAATGCATAACTAGCTCCTCTCGCCGTCAGTCAGGCTAATGAATGATGGGATCCGAAGGGAATTAACAAAAGTCGTGCTTTCTTTTTCATCATTCATGAATGAATTTTGTTTTTATTACCTTTGGTAGGTTGTTGTTCTTGTCGCTGCTTCGTTGGGCACGCCCCCCAGGTACTGCGATTGCTTCAGATTAGCTAGCTAGCTAGCTAGCTTTTATAAAAGGTACGTACATAACATTTCATCTTGACTAACTTGGCCATCTATCATCAACTGATCATGCGAGCTACCTACTTCTAAAGTTGCTTCTACTAGTATGTATGTTTAATTTCTTCACTCACTAGTCACTAGTCATCATATATATCATTGTTTTTTAAAAATCTTAGTAACTTCTTCCTGTCACATTTATATGTATGCCTTTTTTATTCTAAAAAGCTAACAAATCAACGTGCCTCAGCCCAGTCTTGTTAATTAAGAGAAACAACATCAACAACAATAACATACCCAATAGAATCCCACTATTGGGGTTGGAGAGATTAGAATGTATGCAGATTTTATCACTATGACATGATGGTAGATAAACTGTTTTCAAAAGACCCTTAGCTTTAGCAATTCCAGAAACAAAAAAAATTACTCCCTCTGTCCCAATTTATGTGACACATTTTGCTTTTCGAGAGTCAAACGAGTTAAGTTTGACCGAGAATTTGCTCATGGAATCTTCAAATTATTTAAAATGAAATCTATATATTTGTAAACTACATAAAAAGTACTATAAGTCCCAATAATTGATAATTCAAAATATTTAAAAGATATATGAAAAATTTACGGTCAAAGATAGACTTGTTTGAATCTCGAAATCCGAAATGTGTCACATAAATTGGGACATAGGGAGTAAAATATATCGAGTCACAAGAAAACAATCAAATTTTACCGGGGCAAAAGCAAAACAGTGCAATAATTGAAACATAATACGCAACATATTAAAGTAGAGTAATGGAAACAATAATAAATATTGATGGTTATAAAAAAAAACAAGTATATTACAACTAGTACGATGACAAACAACAACCACTCTAATTACAACAACACTACACTACCTACTATAACCTTCTACTCTAGTACATGTCCTCCACACCCTCCTATCTAAGGTTATGTCCTCAATAATCTGGAGCTGATCATGTCATATCACATTTTCTCTAATACTTCTTCGGTCTATCTCTGCCTTTCCCCGTACCCTCTAGCCAACCTCTCGCACCTCCTTACTGATGCATCCACTCATCTCCTCTTCACATAATCTAACCATCTCAATCTCGCCTCTCTCATCTTGTCCACCACGGAGGCCAGTACTCCCACCTTATTCTGAATATCCTCATTCCTAATCTTATTGCTCCTAGTATGACCACATATCCACCTTAGTATCTTCATCTCTGCATACATCTGTTGAACATGAGAGTTTTGTTTGAAAATGGTACTCCTATATATTTGTATCTGAAATCAAATACGGGGAGGAAGGTAACAACCCCTTTTCTAAATTGTCTCCTTCCTTTAAACAATTAATTAGCTGCCTCTAACATACTTTTTTTTTTTAATCTTTCCTAGTAGTGCACATATATTAAAGATCTCTACGATATATATTTACACTACTCAGGGTTTGTCATCCGATCGATTTTGAGCTTGGATATACATACATGATTTTGCTGGTTTGATATTCGAAGTAAGCATTTGCCTTAGGTAAGTCCTCTTTTATTCATTTTATGATACAGAAGCATAATTAGTATTACTCCTTTCGTTTCATCTTTGACGAGTGCATGTGGAGTTTAAGAAAAAAAGAGTTGTTGCACATATCACAAGTACATTAAGAACTTGCAGCTTAAACATGTTATATGGTATTTGTATGAATATAAGAGCATATCAAATGTCAAATGTAATGTTAAATAGTTTCAATATTGAAGGGTGTCATTCCTTTATTGCATTGTTTCGTCCGCTCCAATTTTATACCCTCATAAATTCAATGTTAGCCTTACAAATTAATTAACTACCAATCATGATCATGTACGTATTTATAAATCCAAAAACATATTTAACCTTCTAATAATATAATTTCGTTTATTCTCTAGATCTAGTGATTTCCTAACCTTAACATTTCTATGTAAATTGGTATGGTGTTTGCAGAAAGTGTTGCTATATGTTTCTTATACATAATTAATAATGGGAGCTAGCTTGCCCTTGGCCAAAAGAGAGAAATAGATTCTCAGGTAACTAAAACCAAGCTAAGTAGAAATAAAATAATACTAGCTGGCTCTTTTCAGATAATAAATAAACTTAACAATTCGGTAAGTTGTTTTCTTTTGAATAAAAGCACAAAGTTAATTGTCCTTGTTAGTGCGTGTTAACATTAATCTGGATTGAATAGTACATATACTTTAAGTTGTATATTTTTCTCATCTCTCAAAAGCTTAAATTGGATCACTCTTTTTTTTTTTTTTTTTTGTTGTTGTCAATAGTTCCGGTGAGGATATATAAATGATGTCAAAAGGTACAAAGCACCTGACCTCTTCAATTCACTACAAGAAAAGAATGAACAAGGTTCAATTTCTACAAATTGGATCACTCTTGAAAGCATAACACAAATTACATAAAAATATAAGAGTTTCAGAAATGTGCATACTTAATCTGTATTCTATTTAGGTATATTTGCATGAAGAATTGAATTTTCTTGGACATATATATCTCTTTCTTCGATTGTGTTTGGTTCTTTGCTCCAATGTTATTTTGATAAAGGTTCCTTTCCTTGCTAGCAAACATGAGTGTTGACACCGAGTGCACTTTAACCCTGACCAATGTACTGTATCGAAATAGTTATACTCTATGCATATATAAAATTTTAGGCATGGTCATCCAAATTGTCATAGCTATACTCTACCTACAGAAATGTATATAGGGAGACCACCTTAAACTTATCATGTAAATTCAACGAGAGAAGAAAATATAGATAGCCCTATTTATGAAGGAGAGAGAGAAAGAGGAAAGAATTTGAAGAGTATATCATACCATTCTCTACTAAGTCCAAAACATTTTTCTTACACACATGTTTTTAGTACCTTTTCGGCTAGGATTTTGACGGGGCTAGCTAAAAGTTCCGAGTTTACTGGCAGGTCATATCTCTTTTTTTTTTTTTTTTAGTTAAACAATGTAATCTGCTCAAATATTACTAGAAGCAAAAACTGAACCATGCAGTACAGGTAGCATCTTTAAAAGACAGATTAAGTTGAAATCTCAATCTCAAGCAAAATTTCACCTTCGATAAAAAAACTACGTTTACACTGTAATACTTGTAGGTTCAATAACTTCAAGTTGAGGACCGAGCGTCTCCTCAGCAGCCTTCTCGGCCTTAACTCTGAGTTTGGCCAACTGCTTTTTCCTCCCGTATGCTACCTGGGTTCTCTCCTTTCTCTTGTTCTCAAGCTCCTTGATAGTGTCATAATGGTTCCATCCAACCTCTGATGAAAGCTTACCCAAGGACAGTATTTATGTCCTGCTTGGAGTCTCAACACCTTGAGAGCATCAGGGATGACCATCCTCCTGATTTTGTCATATGGAGGTGGAACACCCTCGTAAACCTTCAAGCGGGCAAGAACAGCTGCTCCACGCTTAGTTTTGTGGGGAATCATCCCACGTATGGTCCTCCAGAGGATCTTAGAGGGAGCACGGAAGTGAATAGGTCCATGAGAAGGCTTAGTATTCATCCTCTTACGAAGGAACCTAAGATACTTCATTTTCTTATGAACAAGTCCACGAGAAAGACAAATCTCTTCACACCTAACAACAACAACACTCTGTTCATTAAGCAGTTCCTTAGCCAAAATTGATGAGAGCCTACCAAGCATATGGTGACGAGCATCAACCACTATCCTCCTTGCGGAGATTCCTGAACCGGACACCATTTTTGCTTTTCTCTCTTGCTTACCTGTGAAGAAGGGACTGGCAGGTCATATCAAAACAATGATAGAGAGATTTTGATCAAGTGAAAAATTAGTCCCTTTTCTTTAATATCATCAAGTATAAATTTATACGTATCATTAATTAGGCACACAAATGTAAATTTATTTCCAAACTTAGTTCTATCCTTTATAAGAGGGATTTGATCATCCTATGAAAGTGACAAGCTAGAAAGATGTTAGGTGTAAAGTTCTACTAATTAACTCATACCATCAACTTTAATTAATTAATTACATATATAGATAGATGTCTTGACTGCATCAAAAGGCGGTTTCTCATTTTAAGTGCATTCAAAGAATACCATATATGCCTATTTTTTGTTAGACTAATGATGTACACCTTAACTTATGTTTTGACTTTTATCATAATTGGATCGGCTAAAGGAAGCACAAATGCCTATCGCTCTCTCATTTACTCTAGTTTACAACTAGATCTGCAATGTTCAATCTATTTTTTCTTATGTGCAAAATTTGTTAATTATGGGTACAATCATTGCATCAAACATTGTTGTTAATTAAAATCTCATTTTCATTCTTCTGTTTAAAGAAAAACAAGGTCAAAGTGCCTAATTATATTCAGTTGGGAAAGTATCAAACTACCAATAGGGAAGGATATAATCCAATAGTCTAAACTACATATATTCTTAAGTAATTTCGTTGGTTGTCCCATTGTTGATAAATTTATCTGACAAAAAACTATGGCATATTGTAGTCGTAAATAGAGAATAATATAGGGGTTTGTGGATGACTCATCACTATTTATCTAAAGAAAAAAAAGAAGAGACTTGCCTAGAAAATGACGTGAGAGAATCACTTGATATATGAATAAATCCATATTTACCGTATAAAAAAAGTTAGAAAATCACATAAATCCTATAAATAGGCCTAAGTGTTTAAAAATTTCTCAAAAATGGTGAGATTGTACATATTGTGTCACGACCCAAGGGCACCCCTAGACGTAACATGACAAATAGTGTTGAAAAAATGATTCTAGTATCTCAAAAAGACTTGTTAATATTATTGTCTAAGATTTATTCCTTCATTCCTTATTAATGAGTATGTTATTTAACATATTTCTACCATAAATATTTGAGAGAATTATCTTACCATTGAATTGTTTTGACTTGGTCTCATTGCTATAAATTAGCTGTTACCATTCTCAAATTGCCAACTATATCATACCTATTCATTAGCCTAATTAATTCTCCCATTAATCATTAGACAATTACCTACTATGACCGTTGGAGGCCTTGTGGAATCACTTAAAAAACCCCAAATTGCCAACAAATTTTAC